AGTGTTTGTAGTTCTTACTAGAGCCAGTGTCATGGTGAAATATTGATTTGATTTCAACTCATAGTGATGCTATAGAACAGAGTATAATGATTCCTTGGGTTTCCAAGACAGCTTTATAGGAACAGATGACTTCACCTTTCTCCCTTCCAGTGTGCCTGCTCTATTATACCTACTAACCTTGTTAAGCAGCCCAGTGCTTAACCTACAGTGCCACCGGGGCTCCTTCAACATTAGTTAAGGCACTCATAATTCTCCCTGAGCTGCTTCTCCAAAAACCCAGTTTATAGATTGGGAATGTAGAGCTTTTGCTTCCCTGAACTGCACCGTGGAGTGTTCTTTCATGCAACTACTTTTTGTATACCTGTTTAGTTTATGCATTTATCTTATGTATTTTCAATAGAATCTTGGTGTGGTATGTTAGGATAAGCACTGGACTACTAGGAGCTCTGGTAGCGTAGTGGTTACGAATCAGGCTGTGAACCTTAAGGTCAGCAGTTCGAAACTACCAGCCGCTCCGGGGAAGAAAGATGAGGCTTTCTACTCCCGTAAAGATTTACACCCTCGGAAACCCTGACCAGGGTCGCTATTGGTCGGAACCAACTCGACAGCACTTAACAACAAAAACAACTAATCGTAAGGTCAGGGGTTCAAACCCACTAGCTCCTTGGAAACCCTGTGCAGGTATGCTTTGAGTTTGAATTGACCCAAGAGCAGTTATCAACCTTGTATCATCAGACTACTGAAAATTGTCTTTTTGATGGACTCATCTTCCAGCACTATATCAAACAATGTTCAACGATTATTCATAAAGTTTTCAGTGGCTAACTTTTCTCCCTAATTTGTCTTAGTCTGGAAGCTCTGCTGAAACCTGCCCATGGTTGACCTTTCTGGTATTTAAAATACCAGTGGCATAGCTTCCAAAATCACAGAAACATGCATGTCGCCACAGAACCACAAACTGACAGGCAAGTAATGGTTTCAATTACTAGGTCCTAAAGGAGCTCTGGTAGCGTAGTGGTTACGAATCGGGCTGTGAACCTTAAGGTCAGCGGTTCGAAACTACCAGCTGCTCCGTGGGAGAAAGATCAGGCTTTCTACTCCCGTAAAGATTTACACCCTCGGAAACCCTGTACAGAGTCACTATGGGTCGGAACCGACTCGACGGCACTTAACAACAACAACAACAAAGGAGCTCTGGTAACGTAGTGGTTACGAATCGGGTTGCAAACCATAAGGTCAGCAGTTCGAAACTGCCAGCTGCTCTGTGGGAGAAAGATGAGGCTCCTGTAAAGATTAACAGCCTCGGAAACCCTGTGCAGGATCGCTATGAGTCAGAACCGACTCCACAGCACATAACAACAACAACAAAGAGCTTTTTCTGTTTTGGTTTTCAATTTTGTAATTAGTTATATCTTTCTATCCAAGTAGAATTCATCTCTAGGAGAGCAGGCACCTTATCTTTTTCAGTACAAGATCCTGAGTCTCTTGCACAATGGTTTGCACATAGGAATTTTCAAATTATATTTTCAGTAAATAAATGCTGACCCATCTGTGTTTGGACTACTTTGGTCTATTGTGGATGACTGCCACTTGAGTGCCCTGAGACTCAGGATGGTCGAGGACTCACCTTTTTACATCTGATTGATGGTTTATTTATCTTGGTCATGGGTAAATGACTTGGTCTGATTGATGGTTTATTTAAATTTTATTTTGGTGAAATATATATAGCAGAAGATTAGCAATCTTAACAATTTTTTGGTATTTAATTCGGTAACACTATTTTCACAAGGCTGGGCTACCATTACCCCCTTCTAACTCCTAAAGTTTGTCAATATCTGGTTGTGTTGTGCATTGGGTTGCTAGGAGTCAGAACCGAATTACCAAACACACAGTAGTCTTTCATCATCTACTCCCATTACCTTCCCTCCTAAACCCTGGCAATTGTCAGTAATGCCCAGTATGGCACTGTGGGTTAATGAGCTGGACTGCAATGTCATTTGAACCACAAGGTTGCGGTTCAATCTCACCTGCCACTTCATGGAAACCCTATGCAGGGCCTTAACAACAACAATCTGCATGTACATATTCTAGGTATTTTGTACAAGTGGAATTATATGATACTTAATATTTTGAATTAAGGAGCTCTGGTAGTATAGTGGTTACGAATCGGGTGTAAATCGCAAGGCCAGCAGTTCTACGGGAGAAAGATGAGGCTTTCTGCTCCCATAAAGATTTACAGCCTCAGAAACCCTGTGTAGGGTCGCTTTGAGTCGGAACCGACTCCACGGCACTTAACAACAACAATATTTTGAATTAGACTTAACTTCATTCAGAATAATATTATGAAGGTTTATCCACATAGTGACAAGTATCTATAAATTTTGCTTCTGTTTCTGTCTGAACAACATGGCATTGTATGTATATAGCACACCTTGTTTATCCATTCATCCTTTAAAGGTCTTTGGAACTTTTTCCACCTTTTGGCTATTTTGAATAATGCTGCAGTGAAATTTTGTGTTCCAGTGTTTGTTTTAGTCCCAGTTTTCTAGTTTCTTGAGTATATGCCTATGAGTGGAATATCTGAGTCATATGGCAGTTTCTTTCTGAATAATCGTCACACTTATGCATAGCAGCTATATCACCATCCATTTCTAACAAGTGATCTAGCATTGCAAATGGATTCCTTCACATTATCTTTTTTAAAACTAATAATATTTTATTGTTGTTTAGGTGAAAATTTATATAGTAAATTAGGTTCCCCTTTAATGAACTTTGTATAAATGGTTTCATGCTTTTGGTTACAGTTTTGACAATGTGTCAGCAGTCATTATTTCCATTATGTTGGTTCTGTTTTTAGGAATCTAGGTTCCCCTCCCCTCCTGTCTGCTCACCTTTAGTTTGGGGTTAATGTTGACCCTTTAGTGTCTGCATGAATAATTTCATTTAGAAAGCTCAATAAGAGACGGGTCCCTCTGAGGTGGAGATTACAGATATCTAAAATGTCTAACTTTTCCAACATGTCACACCACTCAATAGGCCTTGGTATCAGTCACCACTTCACCCCTTCCTCATGTCCCAGGGTCCTATAATACCCCGCAGGGACTCACCGAGCTCAACAACTGTCAAGGGAAATGGCTTACGCAGTTGTGTAGGCTGTCCAGTTTCAGATCTGTAGTTCAAAACGGTCAGTGTGGAAGATTCTCTGCACCCAAATATGCAGGCTGTTGATACAGGAAGCTTCAAGAGCTGGTGAATTGGGTCAGGTGATGGGATGCAAGTCACTTGAATTGGAGGTCAGCCTCCATGAATCCCAGGAATCAGAGGTCAGACAACATGCCGAGCAAGAGAGCAAACTTTGCCAAAGCAGTCTTATAAATTGGACTCACACCGTACTTCCACAGAAACCTAAGGATGGTGACTTGAGTTCTGTAAATTGGGGGCATCCTTAATTCTTGTTATTAGGTGCCATTGAGTCAGTTCTGACTCATAGTGACCCTGTCACAACAGAACAATACACTGCCTCATCCTGCACCATCCTCATAAGTGTTAAATTGAATCCATTGTTGTTACCAGTGCTCGTCTATCTAATTGAGGGGCTTCCTTTTTAAATTTTTTTTGTGCTGACCTTCTACTTTACGACGCATGATGTGTTTCTTCAGGGCCTGGTCCCTTCTGATAACATGCCCAAAGTACAAGAGACAGTGTTACCATGCTGGCTTCTAAGGAGCATTTTAGCTGTACTTCTTCCAACACTGATTTGTTTGTTTTTCTTTCACTCTCATGGACGTGTTTTAATTTCTTTAGCTTCAGCCTGAACTTGTATAGAAGCTACTGATAGTCTTTTCTACATTTGGCCCCTGGCCTTGTTTTAGCTGATTATACCAAGCTTTTCCACCATCTCATCTCACAGATATAGTCAGTTTGATTCCTGTGCATTCCTTCTGGTGAGGGCCATGTTATTGCTGTTTTTAAAAAAAGGTATTTGCAATGAAGTCATAAGTCTTGTGAAATTCTTATATAATTTGCAGAATCATTTCTGTCACCAAAGCCATATTTTCTAACTACTGATCCTTCCTCTTTGTTTTCAACATGTGTCAAATTCCAACTACCAGTAATTGTAAATACGACTTAAATATATGCTTGATCAATTTCAGCCCAAAGAAATTGGTAGAATTCTTCACTTTTATCATCTCTGGCTTTTGTGATTGATGCATAAATTTGAATACTAGTAGTATTAACTGGTAGCCCACCGAATATTATCACAGAGAGCATTTTACTTCATTTATAGGATGAATGGGACACCATTCCTCTTTGACGTTCCAGACTTAGTAAACCATGACTGTCAAATTTAAAATGGCTAAGACCAGTCCATTTCAGCTCACTAATGCCTAGGATGTCAATTTTTATGCATCCCATTTAATTTTTGACAACTTTCAAATTTCCTATATTCATACTTAAACTACAAACAGACTTAGAAACATGACTAAAGCTCATAAGTATATTTTGAGGGTTTGAAGCTAGTTATGTAAAGTTTAAAAATAAACATTGGTAATCTGTGACGTTAAATGTCAAGACACTTGTGGAAAGAGTGATTACTAGACAAGGAAGTTCCTTCATTGGGAACTTGATTCGTTGTTCAAAGGTATCATTTTGGGAAAATTCAATAAGGTATGACTTGTTCTCTTTTTTCTTTAACACAGATTACATTAAAATACTAACCCATTTATTTAACGGTACCATGTAATTGGGGAAACATTAATCTACCAATATATTAACAGGCATGGGGGAAAATTCATAAATTGCAATTCTCTTCCCACATCCCTCTTTTTGATGTTTATGACTTCCCTGAACAGATAAGAAGCAACAATAAACTGTCTCCTACGCGAATCCATAGAGGATAGGATTCACATTTAATTACTCTTATTGTGAAATTGCTCTGGTTCTGACTCAGATTTTTTGAATAAATGATGTATAAGTAATTTTTATATTCATTTTACCAGGTAGATATTGACAACAAACCAGTAAATGGCCTCACATCAGGATCCATGGAATACGGCAGATGTGGTCATGGGGAAGAACAAAGATTGGAGTTGAACCCACATTCCCTTGAAAATGTAACTAGAAGTAAAGAAAGCATGACCGGCATTGAAGTAGAGAAGTGGACACAAAGCAGAAAATCACACTTCAGCGATCACGTCAAAGCAGATTGTAGTGCAAATGTTACAGAAACTGGAAAATTGAAAAATTTAGAAGATGACAGGAAAAGAGTCCTACTTCCTGACCTCCTTGAACCGCAAAAATTGTTTGCACAAAGCGTAAGGAACGGAATAAAAAATATACACTATTTGCCAACTGAAACAAATGTTTCCTTTAAACCATTTAATATTGAAGAATTTGGCAAGGCACTTGAAAATAATTCCTATAAATTCCTGAAAGACACTGCAAACCATAACAATGCCATGAGGTCTATTGCTACTAGTTCAAGCTGTGGTCGTCTCAAGGGGGGAAGTAATGTTTTCGTCTTTCAGAAACCTGGCTTTAACTCCAAGTCTATGTCAGATTCTACAGACTTGAATGTAAACAGTTATATTGCTACACACAATGAAAGTCATCAGCCAACAACCCCTGATGGCGGAAATATTAAAGAACTAAAAGATGAGTCTCCAATTCAATCAAGTGTTCTGTCGGTAATAAAAGATAGAATGTTAACGGCTGAGCAAATGGTGGCCATAGAGGCCCTGACTCAACTTTCAGAAGCTCCATCAGAGAATTCCTCACCATCAAAGTCAGAGAAAGATGTAGAAACAGAGCAGAGAACTGCTAGTCTCCTTCATAACTGTAAAGCTTTTATCTACTCTGTAAGAAAAGACTTACAGGACCCAAACTCACAAGGGCAAGCAGAAATCCTTCATCACGCTCCACTTTTGGAAAAACAGAGTTCATGTAACATGGTGGTATTCAATGGTCAAAATGCCATTTCCAAATCACACAAGTGCTCAGTTACTAACCAAGCACCCACTAAGTCACAGGAATATTCAAAAGTCACAAACTCAGTATCTCTTTTTACGCCAAATTCTAATTCATCTAAAATTGGCAAAAACAAAAATGTTGCTCATGGTAGAATTCCTCTTGATAGTTACTCTAAGAATTTGTATCAGGTCCCACCAAGAAGTAATAAATTGGGGTGCTGTAATCAGTTACTGGACAGAAGTAAGAAGTTAAAGGGAGATGTGTCTTGTCATGATGCAGCTCACAGTCAAATAGAGGAAGATGTTGCAACACAGTTAACCCAACTTGCGTCAATAATTAAATTAAATTATATAAAACCAGAGGATAAAAGAGGTGAAACTATACCAACAAGCCTTTCTGCACATAACTCACAACAAAAATATAGTCAGGAAAAGACCATAATACAACAGAAACCACCTTCAAGTATACAGAACTATCATGGCGCATCATTAACAAAACAAAAGAACACATCCCAGAAAAGGACAAAATGCACCCAACCTAGAGTTCGACGAAAAAGGAAGCCTGCAGTCATAAGCTGTGATGAAAATGACCAGAAGAAGCAAGAACATTTATCACATGAGTATAGTAAGTTACATGCAATTTGGGTGGCATCCAAATTTCAACGATATGGTATATTTGGACCCCATAATTTTCCTATTCAGTTGGGAAGAATTCCTCCACTAACCAAAGTATGTAAGCCATTGACACAAAAGAGTTCAGCATTACAACACAAAAAATTATTTCCTCCAGTCAATCAGATAAAATTTGAGAGATATTATCCTGAATTAGCACAAGAAAAAATGATAAAGGTTGAACCATTGGATTCTTTCTCTTTATCTCATTTTAAAACTGAATCCAGCGGGGAGGCATTTACAGACAAAGCTTGTAATTCTCAGGTACAGCCTACAGGGAATGTCGATCAGAAAGCTCAACCCTTGCCCCAGCTCTCCTCTTCACCCATCGAGTGTGCTAACCTGATGTCTTGCAATGACCAAACACAGTGTCAGCAGGATATTAAAGAGCAACTCATGGATCAGAGAGTCCTAACATTGCCTGATAGCTCTCATGAGAGATCCCTCTCAGACCCAGAACAAATTCTCAGGAATGTAAATGTTGTATGTTCAGGTGGAATTACAGTGGTTTCAACCAAAAGTGAAGAACACGTCTATTCATCCGGTCTAGGAAAATTAGGACTTTCTCCTGGTGACAGTATACAAAAAAATTTTAACGATTACGCCATGAACTTCTTTACTAAACCCACAAAAAACCTGGTCTCTACAACGAAAGATTCTGATCTGCCAACCTGCAATTGTCTCGGTAAGTGTTGTATGAAGGGTAGGTGTTCCTCTTTTTTAACCTCCATCAATTTCTTGCAGTTCTCGTTCTTCATTGAGGATTGGTATTTTTTGCCTCATTCTTTTTCAAGCTAAGATGGTTTGGGTAATTCTATGTCTACTTTTTTGGTGGGTCTTTCATTGAATCTGCTCAGATAAATCTGAAATGCAACTCATTTGAAATAACAAAGAAACTTTCTTCAGTAGAAAAGCTGGTTGTTTCTGTTTAGCTTAAATGGATCTTCAGTTGTATATTGTGCATATCTCAAGAATGAAATTTTCAAGTACTTTGTTACAAGCTTATGCTGCCTAGAATACTTGCATTTTAAAAACAATTACTTATTGTTTGATATAGAATATTTGCAGAGAATATAAAACATAAAGAACTCAACAAATAGCTGTGAAAGTGTCTGTATAATTGTCACCCAAACCTAGAAGTATTTTGTTTCCTTTTAGCATCTAGTTTTTATGGGCTAAAATATGAACCATGTAGACAGATGTGAAGAAAAAAAAACTAGTATCTTAGATACTTTAAGACTTTCTAGATAACTTGAGTTTTGTTATTTTTTAATTAACAAATTTATTCAATAAATATTTATTTCCTATCTCAAAATAGTAATCATAAGCAGGTTTGTGGTTATAGCTGAGTTGTGGACAAATTTCTAATCAATGTCATTCTGTGCTTTAGGCATCACTGAAAGTTAAACACTTAAAAATTATTGTTAAGTTTCATGAATGCTTGTAAGCCCTATGAAAATCATGCTGGGGTAGAGTCTCAGGTGGGTCTTTGATAAACTTCCTCAATATTTAAATCTACCAACACTTAATTTGACTTATATACTGATATTAGTCATCATTTATGGTAAAATCTCATGTAGTTCTTAAATATAAAGAACTAAAAAATTTTTTATTAGTCTAACTAAAAAAACCCCAACAGGGTGAGTAAATATTTTGAGTTATTAAAGTATGTTGGGTTGTTTAAGAAATCATTCTGGTGTTAATTAGGCATTTGACTGCTAATCAAAAGGTCAGTGGCTCCAACCCACCAGCTGGTGGATTTCTATGGGAGAAAAACGAGGTTGTCTTGGACTTTGTGTTGGAGTCAACATATAGGCTTGCTATGAATTGGAATTGCTTTAAGGGCAGTGAATAGAAGGTTGCTTAAAGTTCTATTATTTCAGCTATTATATGGCCTGTGATAGGATGGAATTTGGGAAATAACCTGTTTTAAACCCAATACAAATAGGGTTAATTATTATAATCTTGCACTTAAAATCTAGCCCCATGTCACAAAAATTAGTCTTTTTACTATGAACATGTGGCTTGTTATTCATTTCCACCTTGGTTTGTTAAAAATAATTCAAAAGGATATCCCTGAATTTTAATAAAATCCTTTCATAAAGGATATTGGAATCTAGAGCTGACTTTTAGTACTTTTGTATGCAATATAATTTGATATTTTGATCATTCTGTTTCTGCATTAATTATTCAACACCCAGTTTTAATAGTCTAGTATGTCGTTGGCACTGAGGTCAAGCATTCATGAAGAGTTTCACAATCTGCAAAGGGTTACAATCCTGTGTGAGTAGGAAGACTGGAGAGATGGAGAAGTTCTTATAATGGTGCTAGCTCATATGACAGCTGTCACAAAGAGTCTGGTGCCATGCCCTTGATATTTTATATCTCACGACAAAGGCAAGGCTGAATATCCCCAATTAACAAATGTGAAGTATGAGGCACAGAAAAGTTATATTAAATGGTTAAACTGAGCTTCAGAGACGTGTTCTCAACTCTCAAACCAATGTTTGTAACTTCTACCCTTTATTGCTTCAAAAATCTATATGGTGATAAAGGAAGCACTATAAATGCAGGGAGAAAATCTAGTATTCAAAAAATAAAATGCCATTATAATTTATAGGAGGTCCTGGTGTGGCACTGTAGGTTAATGTGCTGGACTGCAAGGTTATCAGTGGCTCAAAGTCACTAGACACTCCTCGGAAACCCTATACATTGTCACTAGAAGTTGGAACCAACTCGATGGCACTTCACAAGAACAACAATAGTTATACCATAGATTTCACAATTAAAGTCCTGCTATTCCCTAGAAATGATCCAATCTTTTTTTGATTATTATTACAACACTGAACAACAGCAGTTTATATAATGAAGGTATTCTAGTTTTACCTTGTGGATACTAGTTTCAGTTAGATGATTGTTTAATATTCTGACACCTTCTTTATATGCATACATAATAACTAGTCAAGGTATAGGAGGTAAAACAGCTAAAGGCCATTAGCAATAAAAGTCAGGTAGTCAAAGTTTATTGAGCACCTAAAATGAACTCTATTACATGCTATCACTCATGTGTCTTCCTCTAATCATTAAATTTGAGGTTAGTGAATTGAAATAAAGAGATAGAAAAAACAAAAAGAAGTGAGATCATCATATCAAAGGATCCCTGATTTCCTCATGCTATAATCTAGCAAAATAGATTGAATAACCATTAGGTTTAGGTTTTAGTTCATTCTCAACCCTGACTCTATTGACATTTTGGACTTTATAATTCTTTGTTGTGGGTGGCTTTTCTCTTCACTGTAGAATGTTTAGCAGCATTCCCAGCCTTTACTCAGTGGATTCTAGTGACACTTGCCTCCACACCTGTGAAAACCAAAAATGTTTCTAGACATGCCCAGATATCCCTTGTGGACAAGATTGTCTTTGTTTTAGAATCACTGCTCTAGATCACCAATAATAAGTTAAAATCTACTCAGTATCCATTTCAAAAGCCACAGAAACAACCCTACATTATATTTGATGTCTAATGAAAATGTTTAAATAATGACCTTTTGGTGTTGGTTCGCCATGGTCAGAAATGCATTCATCTCATTCCTTGATGATTCTGATTAGGCACAATAATAACAGGTCAAATAAAAAATACTGTTTTCTAATATATGTGAAAGGAGTTCTGGAAGCGTTGTGGTTGTGAATTGGGCTGCTAATCTCACGTTTAGCAGTTCAAAACTACCAGCTGTTCCATGGGGAAAGGATGAGGCTTTCTGCTCCCGTAAAGATTTATAGCCTCGGAAACCCTGTACAGGGTCCCTATGAGTCAGAACTGACTCCACGGTACTTAACCACAATATATGTATAATTAATACTCATAAAAATGCAAACATTTTAACATATGAGGTAAACATTCTCATATGGTTCCATTCTGTGAAGATAAAACACTCATAGTTTTTCTATATGAATTCATATTATTGATGATTTTTCAAGTCTTTACATTTTTATAAAAATAAGGAAACATACTATGCAATTTTCTTTTTTAGCTTATTGAAATCTTTGACGTTTAAAAATTTTTGCAAGTGTGATTACTTTAATAGCTTCAGTGAATTCCACTATATAAATAAATGTTCCATAATTCAACCAATCATTTCTGACAGATGATAAGGGTGCTTTTTTCTTGATAATACAAATAATTGTAACAAGATATATTTTGTGTACATTTGCATGATTAATACTTAATTGTGCAAGTGTACAATAAGATAAGTCTAAATTTTGAAATTTTACTTTAAATTAAATAAGATTCTGTGGTCATTCTTTTTTGAATCATAGTTCCTAAATAACTTCACTTTTCACTTCAAGTTTTAAAAAGTAGGAGACAGGAGAATAATATATCCAGATCTTTAAAAAATGGTTTTCCTCTTCTGATGCTTAGAGAGAAAAAGAATTAGGAGTAGCAAGAAGAAAGGAACATTAACAATTTAAATTCCAATGCCTATTTTGCTTGACTTTAGTTTTTAAATTCCTTATCAAAAGTCATGGTTTTATATAGAGAAAAAAATAAAAAATTAGCTCTTCCATGCCCTATGCAACTCTGTAAAACCTTGGGTCTAATAATCTCATTCCTTCCACAGATCGAGTTATACAAAAAGACAAAGGTCCATATTATACACACCTTGGGGCAGGACCAAGTGTTGCTGCTGTCAGGGAAATCATGGAGAATAGGTGAGGACAAATATTTCCCTCTTAAAGCCATTCTGTATTGTGGACTGGAGTCAATGCAGATGAATGGAAACCTTTACAAGTATGAGTTGGATATTTCCTAGCACCCAGGAAAAGAGTACTGTCCTTGGTCAAGGCCGCCAGACTCACTAATCCCAAGAGACACAGAACACGAACCAAGCCACCCACAAAGCAGGACTAATGTCTTTGTTAAATTTAGAAATACTTATTTGTATATTATTACATAATTGTAGAAACAGTTGAGATTACCACCATTACCAGGATATTAATTGCCTTTGCTTTTCTTGGAGTCAGGCCATTTTTAAAAAGGGATCATTAAGGATAAATAAACAAACAGAACTGAATAAGAAATAAAAACATCTGCCACTGAAATGTAAATTTAGGAAACTTAAACTACAAATCTATGTCTTTATGCACATTAAGATGCTAAAAGTTACAGGTTCCAAGGATACCTCACAATTAGTATTTTCCCTCCATTGTGTTTTTCTCTCTCTTTTTTTTTTTTTTTTACAGGTTTGGTCAAAAAGGAAATGCAATAAGGATAGAAATAGTAGTATATACAGGAAAAGAAGGAAAAAGCTCTCATGGGTGTCCAATTGCTAAGTGGGTAAGTGTTTCTAAAAACCTACTAATAATTTTTGTTCCCATCAACAGAAGAGTCAGTAAACAAACTTTGGTACATACACAAAATGGAATACTATACAACTTTGAAGAATAATTATGAATCTTTGAAAAACCAAAGAACATGGTTGGACCTGAAGCATATTATGCTGAGTGAAATTATTAAATTACAAAAGTCCCAGTTCTTTCACATGGGATAGAATTTTAATTTTTTTGTTTTCTCTTACATGCTGTAGAATCAAGTAGTAATTAAACACTTGCCTTAATTTCTAACAATCTCAGTGAAATCTGAGCAAAATCAATTTCAGAATGAGGAAGATAAGTTAAAAGAATTCCATTTCATTGAGTGTTTTTTGTTGCCAGGCCCCAAGCTAGATACTGTTGCCACAAACCTGAAGTATTATCTTCCAGTCATCACGCTTGCAGATAATTAGGAAATTGGCCCAGAATCACATCTGGCATCACAGACTTAGTCTAGGTTTTCCTGGCTTCAATTTCATTGCTCAAGGAACCTAGATGGTGCAGTAGATACATTTGGCTTTTAATCAAAAAGTTGCCTGGTTCTCTGCACCACCACTTCCACTTGTTGGGAGAAGGGTGTGGCAATCTGATTACAACCTTGGAAAAATCCCTTTGGGGCAGTTATATTCAACTGAGATCACCTTGTCAACATTAATGTCAGTTTTGCTCCCCTAGAAGTGCAGAACATTCCCTATAATATGTATCAATGTGAATACTTAGGATGCGGAAGAGGGTTTATAGTTCTGAAATATTACTTTCTTTATTGAGTTATTTTACTCAATTTTTCTCAATTTCCCAAAACATGCACTCAGTATTTCTGTGAAAGAGACTTTGTTGAAGGTATTTCCAAGTGGCATCCAGAATGACTATTATTGTACATTTTATCTAAACTCTTGTAAATGTGATATATTCAGATGTTTAAAACTATTTTAAAATAGAATATGGCAAGTGGTTGTGAAGTGGGGTCAAGTTAGTTATGACTCATCGTAACCCTACGTAGGGCTTCCAAGGCTGTCAATCTTTGTAGAGCAGAAAGCCTCCTTTTTCTCCTGCTGAGTGGGCTGGTGGGCTCAAACTGCCGACCATTGTTTACCCTAAAGTGCCCCTGTGCTTCTGAAGGATATTGTATACTGTTGGTATATTATTGATTTATAGACACTTGTAATGCACTAAGAAAATTGGCCAGTATTTATAAAAGCTACGAATTTGTCTCAATTTTTGGTGGCAATTTTTATAATTCAGATTTTATACTTTATATCTGATAGGACTAATTCCTCAGTACTGCTTTTAATTTTTCAAAGATTTCATAACCATTATTGGCTTGCTTAATTTTTTGTATTTGTTTCTAATTACCTCATCTAATTGCATAAATAAAACCCTATTATCATGTTAATTGGAATCACATTAAATAGAATTTATATCTTTAATGTTTAGTCTTCAAATACACCATATGTTCACACCTTTTTTCTCATGGATGTTTTCAAGAGTTGTTACCATAGACTTTATCTTTCTCATTTTTTAGCATAGTCCTGTTGCCTATCAAGTGCTACCAAGTACCACTGAGTAAATTTTTAACTCTTGTTGGCCCCCATGTAAAAGATCAGAACTTCTCCCGATTGGGTTTTCGTGGCTGCCACTGATTACCAGTTTACCCCCTGGATCCCTTGAGTAGGTTTGAACCCACCAATCTATGTTAGCAGCCAGTCTATAATCTAAAGTAACAAATTTTTATCCTCTTTTCTCCATTTTTTTTTTGTTTTTAACTATTCATTGTGAATTGAGTGAAAGTTAACAGATAGTGCTTTTCAAGAAAGCTCTCTGGGGTTGGTATAATAATGATGCAGGAAGCCAGGGGTGACTCTTACTGAACAGGAAGCAGTAAGTGGAAAGGCCCTGGCCAATGAAGAGGCCACTGAAGTTGAGGATTCAGATAATGATACAAATGTAGGCAAAAAAAAGTCTGTTCATGAAAGTTTTGTAGGTGTTTGTGAGGTGAGGAGTTTTTTTTTTTTTTAATTTAATGAGCAATAAGAAGACTTTAAAGTGTTTTATTTAGGGTTGTATTATTTGGTTTGTTTGAAAAGATCATTCTAAGATATTGAATAAAATCTGTATTTGTTATTTGTTGTTATATAATATGTTCCCCAAAACTTATAAGCAAATATTTATTATATGTTTTGTGGGTCTGGGATCCCAGAGTGTCTTAGGTAAATGGTTCTGACATAGGTCTAAGTGAAGATTTAATTAGGGCTGCATCATTTTAAAATTGACTTGTGACCAGAGGATCCCTTTCTAAGGTCACTTCTAGGAGGTGTCATTCTCTTAGGTTGTTATTCCAACTCATAGAGACCCCATATAGGGTTTACAAGGAGTGGCTGGTGGATTTGAAATGCCAACCCTGTTTTAAACCAACCTTGTAGTCAAGTGCTTATCCTACAGCACCATTGGGCTTGTTAAATAGCCTCATGTTGTGTCAGCTTGATTTTCCTAACTGAGTAAGGAGGAAGCTCCAATGACTTCTATAACTTAGGACTACACCAGGGCATAGATACCAACTGGGAGGTGATGATCACTGTGGTCATCTTACTGACTACCCCAAATTTAAACAAACAAACAAAAAAACTAAAAAGTTAAGATTTCGATATTAGCATAGAATGAGTTTATTTCCAAAGTCAACATCATGTTTTATAGGGGGACCCCTTTAAATTAGTAACATATATGTACAAAATAGTGCTCATAAACATTGCTGTTATTCATGGAAATCTCAAACACAATGGAACAAGATTCTGCGTGGTTCTGCGTCATCGTCGACATCAGTTGCAGATTGGATCATTGTGATCCATGGGGTTTTCCTTGGCTGATTTTCTTTCTAATCCTTCTTAGCTAAAAACTGTTCAGTATAAGCCTCTGCTGCCACTGTGTATGTACTTTCAGTATTTGCTGAAATAAATGTCAGAGATTTCTTCTCAGTGTTCTGGAATTGATACTTGATATAATCTGCATGTGTTACTTATTTCTGAATCCCATACTTAATTTCCTATTAAATAGCAAAGAATGAAAATATCCTCATTGATGGAATTTGATTTTCCCTAAATTGAGTGACCAAAAGATAGCATGGTAATGGCATTTTGTATTCTTCCTTCCTACCTTTCATAGCTTCTCTAAGGAGCTCTGGTAGCGTAGTGGTTATGAATCGGGCTGTGAACCTTAAGGTCAGTGGTTTGAAACTACCAGCTGCTCCGCGGGAGAAAGATCAGGCTTTCTACTCCCGTAAAGATTTACACCCTCGGAAACCCTGTACAGGGTCACTATCGGTCGAAACCGACTCGACGGCACTTAACAACAACAACAACGTTATATTGGGAAACACTGGTGTGGTGCTATAGGCTAAACACTCATTAAACTGCTAAATATAAAGTCAGTGGTTCAAATCAACTGGCCATTCTAAAGAAATCCTGTACAGACAGAGTCACAATGAGTTCGAAACCACTTGATGGCACTTAACAACACCAATGTTATAATGCAGTCCTGGTATGGCAGTGTTTGGTAGTAACTTTCTGTTGAAGTCTTTTTTATAGGTTTAGCTCCTCCGGTTCAGGAGTTCTGTGCTATATAGAAGATTATTTTTCATGAAATAAAAAAACAAATCTTACTTCCTTATTTTAGCTTGTTAAGTTTTTCTTTTCAGAATAAGCAGACCATTTCATTATAAAGCAATATATGACACTCTTCAGACATAATCTAGAGATAAAAAATGGAGTAAATCATAGTTGTAGAATAATCTACCACCAATTCAAAACTATAACCAAGTGTTGATAGTTCATTCTCTGAAAACAAAAACAAATGTGTTTAATAAATGTTAATATAAGAAACATAATTTTAATCGAAACTTTTCTCAAACTTTACAAGTGAACTATTTAAAATACTCACATTGTTTACTCCTGTTGCCTATTATGAATGCCCACAATGTAGTTGGCAATTAATAAATTTTCATTGAACGCAGAGCAGAAGCAAAACTTTTAGGTTATGGAATATTTTTTGTTTGAATTTGTAGTTTGAAATATTATTGCTTTGTGTTCATTATGTGTTCTTTCAAAAGCATGAGAAACTTTTGAGAAATGCAATTAGGGGTCTGCTGGAATTGTCCAACCCAAATGTGAACTCCTGATAGAGAATTGATTCAAAACAAAAATTGTGAGTTCTCTCTATATGTGTAGAATTCCTAGGGGTACAAAAGGTTAAACTTGTGGCAACTAACAAAAAGATTGGTGATTCTGGTTCACCTAGAGGCTTCTTGGATGATTATTTACTTCAGAAAAATCAGCTATTACAAACCCTATGGAGTGCAGTGCTAGTCTACACACATGGATTCACCATGTAGATGGTGGTGGTTGTGTGCCCTCAAGTTGGATCGAACTCATAGTGACCCTGTATAGAGTTTCTTAGGCTGTGACATTTATAGGAGCAGAAAGCCTTAAGTTTCTCTCACAGAGATCCAACTGATTGCTAACAGAAACTTTATTTAGGCTCATTTGTTTATTATCTCCAGTTCAGGCTTAGGCTTGTTAATAAGTTGTATTCGCTCCTGCACAATTTGTAATGTGAATTTTTATTGCTCCATTTTCTAATATTCATTTGACAGCAGCCTGTCATCAAATGCACTCTCGATTCTTACTAATTTCCTGTTGAGCTAGCCTCTAGCGTGATGTCAGTAGTAGGGAAAACAATTTAGGAAGAAGTTGTCTGTTTTATATTGTTAATTTTGACTCTCAGAGACCCTAGCAGGTTGTCCCTAGAAGGGGGCAATCCTGAACAGTTCATACCAGTGGCAGCCCATAAATGCCCATCCATGTCTGTCAGACCAGATGAAGCAATGTAAATGTTCTGGACCATGTTTCTTAAGTACAGTTTGTCATACAGTGGTGGCTCATGTGTTGTGATGCTAGAAACTAAGCTACTTTTTAAAAAAATACCAGCAGGGTCAGCAATGGTGGACAGATTTTAGCAGAGCATCCAGACTCATAGTGTTCTTATATATGGTTTCTGAGAAGTAACTGCTGAGGTTGAACTACTGTTCAAACCTTTCTTGCTGTCCAGCGCTTATCCCGCAACACCACAAGAAAGACTAGTTAAGATGTTAATTGAGTGAAGGTTTACATTCACCAAATCATACACATTGTTTCATTTCAGTGATTGAATCCCCTCAAGTAACAACAGTTATCTCACTTCCTCCCTGAGGTTCTTACTTCCATTCCACCCTCCTCCCCAACTCATCCGAACTTTGACCTTAGGTAAATGTTGCCTTTTTGATCTTGAATGGTTGACACCATTCCATGGTGAGGATACCTTACTACTGTTGTGGTTCCCCCTATATATCCAAATCCAATCCCTGGTTGAAAATTGTCCGGGAGGGTTAGTTCACTTCCAGTCCTGAAAGGGTGCTAAAGGTCATAGTCTTGGGTTCCTGCGGTCTCTTTCTGACCAACAAACCCAGTTGTTTTTATAATTAAAAATTTTGTTCCACATTTTTCTCCCACTCATTGCATTTGGTAATGGAAGCCAGGCATCATCTAATTCTTCTAGCAACAAAGACTGATGTTTATGTATTCTATTACATTAATTGGCCAAATAATATTCCATTGAAATCCCCCAGTGTGGCACTGTATGATAAAACACTCGACCACAAGGTCAGAGGTTCATACTCATCAACCGCTCTTTGAAAAGCCTATACAGTAGCTATGATTCAGAATTGACTTGATAACACTTAACAACAAAATTGCAAGTATTAATCACATTAATTTTTAGTCATTTGATCTTTTATAGTTGAGTTTTTTGAGTAGTTCATTACTCAAAATTGATACTGTTTAATTTATGAGGCATTCTGTTAATTAGCTAAAAAGGCAACCTCTAGGGATAATTTGGGATTAAAAGTTGACAAGTATCTCAGGAGCCATGTATACTGTTTCTGTGATAAGAATGGTTGGTAGGGGTTGCTGGGCTCCATCTAATTCTTTCTGATGTTAGATGAAGCCATGGTTCATACAGACAATTAATTCTATAATATACCCAGAGTAGTCAAGTCCAATAGTTTTCCCTTTTAAAGCCTTAGATACTATTTTCCCCATTGGCATGCAGAACATACATTTTATGTATTATGATAATTAAATAAGTTGTTCCATGAGACTAGTGTCCTAAAAATACAGAAAATTGGTCTCAACAGGGACTTTCATTTTTATCTGTGCCTTTATCTGGTTTATAATATATACGAATGTATGCACACACCAATATTTATGTATGCCTGTCGGTGCATCTGCCTTATATAAATAAGTAGCAATACATACGTATGTTTATATACATATTTATGTAACCAATTTTGTTCTTGTCAGTGTTGTAAAGTTATATTTGTCAATCATTCAAAATCAAAAGGGCAACATTTTCCTAAGGACAAAGTTGAGAAGCTGCTCCTAGAAAAATGGATACAGGGTCTTTACTCCAAGTTGGAACCAACTTCATGGCACTAAACAACAACAACAACAAAGGTTAATGATCCCAAGCATCTTTTTGTGTTACTTGGTCGTTTGACTGTCCTCTTTGGTGAAGTATCTGTGTTTGTTTTTAGCTTCCTCTCCCCCTCCTTATTTTGCTTTCATCCCAGAGCAAATGTTTCCCTTCTGCTCTCTTATGGTCGATCATCTGATAAATGATTGGATCAATAAAGTTTGTTCTATCCATTAATTTGGAATATTATTCAGCATATGAAAAGAAATGAAGTTCTGATGCACTCTACAAATGGACATACCTTAAAAACATTACTATGAGTGAAAGACATGAGACTCAAAAAGAAATCAAGCAAAATTCCTATCAATTTAGGAGTAAGGTAAACAGAGAAAAATCATACCCCCTTCAAGTCCTTCCGAAATCATAGTGACCCTATAGGACAGACTCATAGTACCACATTGGGTTTTCTGATTAGGGAAATCTTTACCTGAACAGAAACCTCTTCTTTCTCTATGAATCAGAAGCTTTTTTAATAAAAGAGAAAGAAAGGTGTCTTAGTAGTGTTAGAATTTTTAAAGTAAGGTCTGCACCCCTCAATAATTCCAAGGGAAAAAGATATGCCAGTCAGCTCCTGTAAAGATTTAACATTTCAGAGGCCCTGTGGGGCAATGCTTCTCAGTTCTGCTATCATTGTTGTTGTTGTTGTTAAGTGCTGTGGAGTTGGTTTCCACCCATAGTTGTAAAATTTGTGCATAACATCAATATTAATCCTGTTGTTTTTGTTAAGTGCTTTCAAACTAATTATGACCCTATATAGGGTTTCAGAGTTGCAGCTGGTGGATTTAAACCACCAACCTTGCAGTTCAAACTGACCTTGTGGTCCAGTGCTTATCCTAAAGCACCACACAAGGACTCATGTGAGTGTTAATTGTAACATTTGAAATTTTTGTAAAATGTCACTATAGCTCTGGGATATGATGCAGTGTGATAAAAATAGATCAGTATTGAAAATTAAATGTTAAAGTTTGCATTTTCTAAGTCACCTTAACCATAAAGGTAAAACAGATCTGAAAAATGATAGCAATAGCATAAAACCGCCACAAAAATGACAACTTCATTGTTTTATTTTTCATTCTATATTTCACCCAGCAGGGAAAACAAAGCATAACTAACCTAGATGTTTTGTGCTACTTTTGCAAATAACAGCCCTTTATCACAGAATTCTGTTTTAACCTGGTGTTTAATTTTAGTTTCTTGCAACCTGAGATGCAGGAAAAGTCCTACCAGATTCAACCCTTTTAGGGAGTAGTAATTAAAAAAAAAATAAAAGTATAATTATAGAAAGGTTTAAAAGCAATAGCCATAACACTCAAGTGTAGTTTCCTTAGTTTCCAAAATGAACACGTTCTATTTTTGCAGGTTTTAAGAAGAAGCAGCGATGAGGAAAAAGTTCTTTGTCTGGTGCGGCAGCGAACTGGCCACCACTGTGCCACAGCAGTGATGGTGGTGCTCATCATGGTGTGGGATGGCATTCCTCTCCCCATGGCGGACAGACTATACTCGGAGCTGACAGAGAGTTTAAAGTCATACAATGGTCATCCCACAGACCGGAGATGCACACTCAATGAAAAGTAATCGAAACTGTTTTGTCCTATTTCACATCCAAGTCTTTATTTTATATACTGTTAATATTGCATGGGAAAGCAGGATTTTAGAGGTATGAAACCAAAGAGTATAAAATGTTCTGTAAAGACAGACTTGGTTTCACAGTGAGTTAAAGCCATTTTAGAATAGTTTCCATTTTGCTTCCTTCTTTCATACCTATCCAGCGCCCACTCTTCTCTGATTCCTAGAGTGCTGCTGTTGCTGTTAAGTGCTGTTGAGTTGGTTCCAACTCATAGTGACCCTGTATAGTGTTTCTGAGGAGCCTTTACAGTGCTATATCCCCCAGTCCCACACCAAGATTCCTTCTTAGAGTGTACAGGAAGGCAAAGTTTACAGGAAGTCAAAGCTTCCCCTTTGTTGTTGCTATTAAATGCTGTCAAGGTGGTTCCAACTCAAAGTGACCCTGAATAGGGTTTCTGAAATTTTAAATCTTTCCTGGAGCAGTAAGCATCATCTCTCTCCCACATAGCCCCTGGTGGCCTCAAACTGCCAACCAACCTTGTGGTTCATAGTCTATTGCTTATTGTATGTAAAATTTTATTCCCTTTATTAAATATATAGCTCTCCCCTAATTTGAACCTGAATTTTGAAATATAGTTAGGAAACTTTTCTCTCAAGTTATAGAATAATTTGCCCATGCTTTCTTTTTGTTTTTAATTATAGCACATATATTTACAAAAAAACTTCTGTTGTTCAAATGCATTTAAGTGTCAAATTCTTTTGCAATCATCTCATTCATCATGCTATTCAACGAACACAATCTGCTTTTTAATTTTTTTTTAATCACCTCACAGAGAAACCCATTATCCCTGGCACATGTTTCCTTTGAGTACACATTTAATTTGTTTCATCTTAAATTTTTATTGCATTCAGTATTTATACTGGTAAATTGCAAAATCGGAGTTCAGGTGAATTACTAGAGAATATCTCTATTGCTCTTGATTTGAAATGCTATTGTTACTGTTCACTATAATATACATAGACGCTCTGGTGCATGCGTTAGGTAGGATACCCAATAACCAGCTAACCACAGTGTCAGAGAAAGATTAGGCTTTCTGCTGCTGTAAAGATGGTAAGCCCTAAAAAGTGTTAACTATCAAAGATGTCAGTTTGAGGAATAAGGTGTGCCTAACCTAACCATGGTATTTTCAGTCACTTCATGGTGTTGGAGAAGAATATTAAAAGTACCTTGAACTGCCAGAAGAAAAAACAAATGTCTTGGAAAAAAGTACAGCCAAAACAAACGCTCCTTAGAAGCCAGGATGGCAAGACTTTGTCTCTAATACTTTGGGCTTTTATCAGGAGGGACCAGTCCCTGAAGAAGGACATCATGCTTGGTAAAATAGTCAGCATAAAAAAAAAAAAGAGGAAGATGGATTGATTGTGGCAACAACAATGTGCTCAAACAACAATTGTGAGCATGGTGAAGGGCCCGGCATTGTTTCTGTTGTGAGTAGAAAACTGACTCAAAGGCATCTAACCACAACAGGAATTACTTTAATATGTGAATATGGAACAATAGTATCTCTTTTGTAATGGCATTGCTTTAAGTGATATACATATATTATCTAATCTTCCTAACAATATGATAAAATAAGTATTATTCTTTTTAGTTTTTCATAGATCTAGCACATCCTTTAAATAATAACTTCAAAATACAGAAGAGAGATATTGTTAAGTGCAACCAAATTAATTTTGATTCACAGCTACCCTGTTTAAGGTTTCTGATGCTGTAAATCTTTAATGGAGCAAAAAGCCTTACTTTCATCTGTGGAATGGCTGCTGGACTCAAACCTCTAACTTTGTGCTTAGCATTTCAGTGCTTATCCTACAGAGACACAGTATTCTACTGTTTTCCTAGATTTCTCGATTGTTAACAAACATTTAGTTTTATACACAATTGTGACAGGCATTTCTCAATTTTAACAGACATGGTTTTATACACATGCACACAGATCAATATTAGTGTTGATTTTGTTTGTTTGTTTTGGATGTTTGTGAGCTAGTTGAAAACTTCAAGCATGTTTCTTCTAATAATTAAGACCAGAAAATTTTGCTTTAATAAAATATCTAGCATACATTTCAATTTCAAATGTTAGTAATTTACCAGCAACGTGCTTTACTGTCATTTTTTGCCATCTAGGATTCTGTGCTGACCCACACTTTAAATTCATTGGTTTTGTCTCGGTTCTCTATATCCCTTTATTTTTGTGTTTAATGGCATTGATATTATTAAAAGGCACAGGATAATTTCATTGACTGTTGTTGGTGCTGGGTGGTGGTTATGTGCCGTGGAGTCGGTTCCGAATCATAGTGACCCTGTTACAGGGTTTCCAAAACTGTAAATCTTTACAGCAACAGAAAAACCTCATCTTTCTCCTACAAAACCACTGGTAATTTTGAACTGCTGACCATGAGATTAGCAGCCCAACTTGTAACCAACTATGTTATCAGAGCTCATTAACTACTGCTCCATTGATGTTTGTTGACTGTTTCCTTCTGATTGAATTTAGCTTGTGAATTATTGGCAGGAATATATGAGTCACTTTCACTGCATCACATTAGGAGTTACCTTAAGATAATTAATCCAGTTATTGATGGTTATAACTTTAAATACTCTAAGAAATACTCCTAAGCTCACATAGCCACTTAGGTTCTCCCCATTCTGTTACGATAACGAATAATGCTGCTGTGAACAAACATTCGCATGTCCTTCCTATTATCTTGAATGAACTTTTTGTAGTCTTTTTTCTTGCAAGGAACATTATCTTATGTAGAATGATTTTCTTTACTTTCATCATTTAAAAAGTCATGTGATTTTGACATCTTAAATGTATTTTTTTTCTTTAAAAATTTTTTTAAACATGTGTTTCAGTGTTTTGTAATTTTTTTTTGTTTTGTTTACTTGTATATTTTTGACATAACTATACATACTATATAAAATTTTAAGTAGTTTATAAATTTGGAATCAAAGTAAGATTATATACTACTTCCTGGGTTTTTTTCTATGTATGTACATTGTAAACACTATCATTCTTACTCTAGATTTTTATTTATAGCTTCCAAACAATTATTCCAACACTTATCATTTGGTGACATTTTTGTTTTTGACATTCATAGAGATTTGCTTAAAATTGACCATGTGAGTTCATGTCAGATACCTATAGATCAAATAGAGGTTGTGAATATTTCCGACTGCAATAGTGTATTTTTGCTTAAAGTTTTGAACAAACATTTTAGTTCAAAACTTAGTTATAATCAAATTGGGCCATGTTTTTATTATTGCTATAAAATTTTTTACATTAAAAATAAAGATTTTCTTGCTAAATGAAACATTCTTTGATGGTGTCAGAGTGGCAGGGTTGGGTGGCATTAGGGAGGAATACAATGAATAGAGGTAAATACTGTTAACTGATGGTCCATGGAATGGATCCCAGTCATCGTAATTATATGATGTGAATAAATTATTGATCTGTTCTGTAAACCTTCACTCAATTCACAATAATAAATTGAATAAGTAATAAAATAGGAAAGGTGTTGTATTGCTTTACCATGTCATTCCTTTTCTATTTCTGTCTTATAGTCGTACTTGTACGTGTCAAGGGACAGACCCAGAGACTTGCGGTGCTTCCTTCTCATTTGGCTGTTCATGGAGTATGTATTTCAATGGCTGCAAATTTGGTAGAAGCCCAAGCCCCAGAAGATTTAGAATTGACCCAAGTTCTCCCTTACATGTAAGTTTCCATTTTCTTTTTGGATTCACTATGAATATTTAAATATGTTCATTTCAAAGTATTGAAACACTGTTAAAATCAAATATTTAAAAGTAGTAATGAAATAATAAAAGTATAAAAACAAACTAAATAGCTATAAATTCTAAATAAGTTAACTAAATTTTTAACTACCAACCCAAATTCCAGATGTTCTTGTCCCCTCTTCCCACTCCCTTACCCAGAGAGTATCAATGTTAAAAGAATCTAGAATTTTATACCCAAACAAATTAGGAAGAATAAATAAAGCCATTTTCCAACATTTCAAAGACTCAGAAAGTTTACTACCCACAGACCTACTATGAAAGAATTACTAGAGGACGTAATCCAGAAAGAAGATGTATGAAACCGGATCGAATCTGTCCGGGACACAAGGCCATGGTGAGCAAAGAAATCAGTCAAATTTACTATTAAGTTTAAATAAATTGAGTACTTACATATTTAAATTAAAATAGCAACCTATAAGTATAATTCTATTCTCTTATCGATTCAGGGATGGGTGGGGATGGGTAAGCAGTGGGAAGGGTGGGAACCATTTAATGTTTGTTATAACTTTATTTTGGCCGTTAAGGTTTTGGATACTAATTAATTCTAATATTAGTGTTTTTATAACTTAAGTAGTTACCAAAAGTGAAAGATAAATTTTACAAATACAAACTAGTATACACATAAATACATACACAAAAAGAACTTAAACAAAGTGATTAGTAAACAATACTTTAAAAAATTTATGTCACAAAGCTAATACTAAAACATAACAACTCAATATTAAACATAGTTCTTGCTCATGATCTAAATAATTGACAATAATGTATATGTTTGCTTTTGAAATTTGTTTTTAAATCCTACTGCTGTCGTGACCTAGTCAATGGACTTCATGTACCCACTGTTGAGTCATTCCCACAGCTTTAGAAACATTGTATTTAAAACTATTTACATTGTAAATAGAAAATTTTAAATAAGACAGAATTAATCCAATATATCTCTAATACAATGAATATAATAATTTTTGGAAGAAACACAGAATTGATAAATAATTGTACCTTTAAAGGAAGAATAAAAAATATTTATCATTTTCTATTGTTTCTTGCTACTACAATCAAGCAAGCATGAGATATATCTCTCTATTAGCTGTAGAAAACTATCTCTTATTTGCTTTTGTTTTTTATTCAATGATTTTCTATCTAGAAAACAATAATCAAGTTATAGAATCAATATTCTAAATTTTAATAAGATGGCAAGGTGTAGAAGGCCATCTTATAAAAATAAAAATGTTCTTAATTAGCATTAATTAGAATATTGTTTGTGGTAGGTGATGTCGAGTTGGTTCTAATTTAGTAGCGGTCCTATGCACAACATCTAATTAGTAGAAGATGGAAGCTTATTTTAATATATAAATACATTGGTAATACTGACATTGACTTGTTAATTTTTAAAATCTATACCAATATCATTACATAATTTGTAAGTGTAAAAATTAGTTTTTGTTTTTTTTAAAAAATAACTTATTATGAATAACATTTATATAGTACTTGTGATACAGGAAGAAGCATGGTTCATTCCAGAAACTGACACAAGGCTAATATGACTGAAGCGCATCAGGCAAGGGAGAGTGAGGTGCCTTCTAACTCATGTCATGAATCTTGGAAGATCATTGAAGAGTTTTAAGGAGGAGAATGACATAATCACACTTGTTTTTAAAGAGATCTCTGGCTGCTCTTTGAATAATGGATCAGAGTTGGTCAAGAGTGAGTTTGATAACACAAGCCCGTTATCTATGAGAATAAAATGGTGCTTTGGAATAGATTTATAAAAGAAAACGGTGAGCAGTGATTCATCTGTAAAGATACTCGAAACAGAAAATGGATCATGATGCTAGTCCTTGACATGGGCTACACTGGAACAAGCCTAGGTTTATAAGGGCAGAGTTAGTACTCAGTTGGGTTTGTGATTCCTATGGGAAATCCAACTAGGGGAGTAAGCTCAATAATACATGAATCTGGAATATAAGCAGTCGTCTTTAGTCCAGCTGATCAATAAAAAGCCTGGTTGTGGATAAGATGATCCTTTAGATCATTCGTGTTTACTAGTTTTTGAGAAAAGCTGAGACATGGAAAGTTTCACACCAATTGATAATATGAGACTTGCATTATTAACGTGATACCAATAACTAACTACATAAACTTTAGTTGTTTTCTTTTAATACTATATTTCAACATTTATACACAATAAATGTAATTGTTCTCTTTGTTAAAAGTGATGTTGCATTGGTTCTTCCTCATTGCAACCCTGTATAGGGTTTCTGAGTCTGTACATCTTTGAAGAAGCAGAAAGCCATATATTTCTCCTGTGGAGCATCTGGTGGATTCAAACTTTAGATGATAAGAGAATATTTAAAAATCTAAACCTGATTGTTGATGTTGTTGTTAAGTGCAATCGAGTCGTTTCTGCTCCATAGTGACCCAAGGAGCGACTGGTGAGTTTGAACCACAGACCCTGTGGTTCAAACCTATCTTACAGTCCAGTGCATTATTACCACAGTGCCACACTAGGAGTCTTTAAATCTTATGTTGTTGTTGTTAAGTGCCATCAAGTCGGTTCTGACCCATAGCACCCTTTATACAGTTTCCGAGGAGCAGCTGGTGAGCTTGAACCACCTACCTTGCAGTTCAAATGGTTTTGCAGTCTGGCGCATTAACCCACAGTGCCACACCAGGACTCCTTGCACCTTATAGTACATAAGAAATACACAGTCTGCCTGTGTCTTTCCAAAGTATCCCAGCATCATTCTATTAGCTTTGAAACAATTAGTCTCCCCACCTAATAGTTCAAGTTTTAAGAAGCATAATTAAAGTATTTTAATGGACACTTTAAATTTTCTCAATTTTATTCTAAATATGTGCAATAATCAACATGTTATATAGCCAAGGAAAGTTTTTAAGAGTTATAACTTTCCTATGTACAAAGGGGATTCAAAAAGTATATAGAAAAAATCCGTTACAGAGTCTTGTCACTATTCCATGAACTTTTTTGAAGACCCATGGTATTATTAAGCTTTAGTTAGATAGATAAACAGATGAATGAAGAAGACCAATATAGAAATAACCAATTTCATAGAAACATCTTGTATACTAAAAACATCAACATGAATCAATAGGTAACTACAAGATTATAGTTGATGTTTTACTTTTGTCAAGATGCCTTTCTCTGTCTACATTAACTTCCTATGTTACTATGTTTCTTTGACTTTTAGAGGTTAACTTACCCATATGAAAGTCTTCTTTCTATATTTATAGATCTTTATCCACCTAATCTTTAAGGAGCTCTGGTAATTTAGTGGTTACTAATAGGTCTGCGAACCTTCAGGTCTGCAATTCGAAACTACCAGCTATTCCGTGGGAGAAAGATGAAGCTTTCTGCTCCCGTAAAGATTTACATCCTGAGAAACCCTGTACAGGGTCACTATGAGTCGGAACCAACTCCACAGCACATAACAACAAATCCATCTAATCTTTAGTCCCTTCTTCATCCTTGCTCTCAATCTCTTTTCAATTGATGACTTTACATGTGAATCTTGTTTATCAAATTGCTGACTTGATTTAGAAAAGACTCATCTTTATGACAAACTTTCATAGCTTTCTTACAACTCTGCTTACTTCTAAAACCTCCTTTGTCCACTTCTTACTGTCATCATTAACATTTTTAATAGAGACTGGTCCTTACAGGTTTCTTAAGTGTTTGTATACTCAATAGATGAACTGATTCCTGACATGCTAATAATGCTTTTAACAGCCTTACCAAATCTTTTTAAATTTATAGCTACTATGGTGTAATGGTATTGAGAAGAGAGCATCTCTTTTGAACAACAGTTTCTCTATTTGATCTTGTGCCATTTAAGAAACCTCTCAGTCAATTTATTTGTTTTTCCATAAAAGGTGAATGATCATGTGTATCTTTTGGTTTATTTTAAGAATATATTATATTTGAACCTTAGCACAGCATCTGAAACATGATATAGGCTTTATTTCTGTCATTCTCCCCTTTCTGCTTTAACTATTTATCATATTGTATTTAATTTTTTAGGTAGGCACCTCCACTTTGCTTCAGGAACCATGCCTGATATACTTCAACTGTCCAATACTATGAATAATGGTATAACACATGGTTCTTCTTGGAAACAAACAGTTTTATTGTAGTCTCCCTGTAATACCATTTAAATCTCATTTCGTTATAGCATAGAATTTTTTAAAATTTTAAGCATAACAATAACTAACAGTTTAGACTAAGATGAGCAATTAATGTTATCAATGGCAGCAATTTTGTAAATGTAACTGAATTCTGTGTCAGTCATCCCTCAGCAATGATTAATGATGCTTCAGTCTGTTACCTTAAGCTCATGTGTCATTATAAAGCAACCTTAAATGTGCTGTCTTTTCTTATAGGAAAAAAACCTTGAAGACAATTTGCAGAATTTGGCAACACGATTAGCTCCAATTTATAAGCAGTATGCTCCAATTGCTTATCAAAATCAGGTAAGTTTTTATAGTGCTGTTTAATTGATTTGCTTATTAAAAATTTGATCTTTAATGTATCTATCTACTTTTGCTGTAAAGTTATTTTTATTTAAATTAAATTCCTTTTGACAGTTGGATTTTAATAGCCTGTGTAGCTGAATTATTTTATTGCTAGATATAATGAAAACAGAAATGCATGATTGGTTCAACATATCAAAATTAATCAATACCAAGGACAAGTCAGAAAGGATTGCTAACAAAATCATAGAAACTTACTAAATAAAAACATGAAAATGTGACGCTATTGGTTCTCAACATGTCCTTCACCTAAGTCTTTACTTTTTTTAAAAATTTTAATTGTGAATTGAGTGAAGGTTTACAGACAACAACATCAGCCTTTTGCTTCAAGAAATCATACATTTGTTTCATCTCAATGATTACATTTCCCTCCATACAACAGCAATTATCCTGCTTCCTCACTTTGGTTCCCATATACATCCACCCACTTTTTTGTCCCTTCTCAACTTTGTCCCTAGGAAAATGTTGCTCTTTTGATTTTGAATGATTGCCCGTTGCATGGTGAATATTCCTCAGCAGTGCTGTTGTCCTCCCTATAAACGTATCCATTGCTTGGGTGAAAATGTCCTTCCAGACTTGAAGGATGGTCAACAACCATAGTCTCAAGTTCCTCCAGTCTCTTTCTGACCAGTAAGCCCAGTCATATTTTGAGTTTTCTTTCATATTTTCTCTCACTCTAACCGGCACCCTCTAATGCAGTCCCTGTCTCAGGGATTATCTAATTTTTCTGGTCTCACATTCATGGACACTGGTGTTCGCATGTTCCAAGATTCTGTTGGACTAATTGAGTCCAAGCCTCTTTAATTCTTATCATTCGTCTTTCTTCCACACATGGAGACACTAGTAGCTGCACTTTAGACAGCTGCTCACAGGCTTTCAATATCCCCAATACTACTTTCCCAAACAGCATGTAGAACATTGTTTTTGTGAACTATGTTATGTCAGTTGACAATGGTGTCTCCTGAGACTTTAGTCCTGAATCCCCATGCTCATATACTCATGCGCTAGATGTTGGATAAAATAATCATTTGCCTATTGAATGCTCTATCACATTCACAGTTGTGTTTTTAAAATAGATAATTGTACACAAATAACCTCTTTCACACTCATATACAAGTCCATGTCTCAATGTATATATATATGTACAGAATACTGTTGTTCCAAGGTATTTACTTCTGTCCCATTTGTCCCATGCATACCTCCCTGTGTCTCTGTTCACATAAAAAATAATACAGTGTCAAGAGGCAGGGGTAGAAAATGTTTTTGATGAAAAAGAGATACTGAAACTGCCTGAAAAAGAGTTTAGGAGAATGATATTTAGATGCCCTTCAAACACTTGACAGAAAGTTCAAGAAAAAAGTCAGAAAACCTTTACAGGCACAATCAAACAAAATATATAGTAGATTAGAGACAAAACAAACAAAACCAGAAGGTTAGCACTACGATATCATAAATGGATAATAAATTAAAAGGAGAAAGGAATAGATTTGAATCAGTGGAAGCCCCTGAATTAGTGAGCTTAAGGAGAAACTTTTAAGTACTAGTATGCTAGAAGAACAATCAAAAGATTTATGAAAAAATCCAAAGAATGCCTAAGAACAATTTACATTGATTGTAATTCTAGAACAGGAAGAGACGATAAAAAGCACAGTAAAAAAAAGTATCCAAGAGTTGTTGGAAGTAAACGTCCCTAAACATCATGAAAGACCACAGAAGATAAGCATACAAGAACATGAACAAACCTGAAACAGGATAAATGCCCTTCCAAAATCACCAACACATATCATTATCAAACTTTCTAAAAAGTAAAGATATGGAAAGAATCCTGAGAGAAGCTTGGGGAAAATGAAAAGTTACCTACAAAGGAGAACCAATAAGAATAAGCTTGGGTTTCTCAGCAGAAACCAAGCAGGCAAGAAGGTATTCAGATGACATACACAAAACTCTGAAGAAAAAGATTGCCAACCAAGAATCATATAACCAGCAAAACAGTTCCTCGAGTACTATGGCAGAATTAAGACATTTCCTCATATAAAGAAATTAAAGTATTTATAATGATCAGATCAACTTTTCAGAAAAATGCTCTAGGGTGTTCTTTGGACTCAGAACTAACAATGATTACCATTCATGATGACAACCACCTAGAACACAATTCAGATATAGAAATCATTAAAGTAAAATAAACCTACAAGACTGAAAATAGGGCACTAGAGAGATCAAATGTATAAGGAACTCAACTCCGAAGCAAAAAGAGAGAATAGTGTAACATCCAAATGGCAAGTAAGTCAATGTAGATTTCAAGATAAAACAGACAGTTTTCGGCAGGAAGAGTTTAATAAATTACAGGGTAACCTCAAAGCAAAATAATGCACCTTCACATAAAAATAAATACTAGAATGAAGCCAGAAAGATTTATTAAATATTAACACAACAGAAAAGAAAACCTATAATAAAAATTAACTCAACATAGAAAATCATGGAGAACAAAGAATCCAATAGCACCACAAAGTACCACAAAATAGCACTGATAATTACACTGAATGTAAATGGATTAAGTATACAGTCAAGAAGCATAAAGAACAGAATGGATAAGAAAATAGGATCCTTTAATATGCTGTCTACGAGAGACATATCTAAAAGAGGGGCTTGAAACTGACCTTGACAGTTCAAACCGACTTTACATTCCAGCGCATTAATCCACAGCACCACACCATGTGCTTCAACAAAAAGATGAAGACTACCTATATGCCCATCAACAGAAGAATGTTTAAACAAACATTGGTACATACACACAATGGCATACTACAAAATGTTGAAGATTAATGATGAATCTATGAAACACAACATGATTGAACCTGGAGGACATTATTCTGATTGAAATTAGTCAATCACAAAACGACAATATTGTAGAAAACAATCTATGATAGATTATAAAAGAAACAATCTATGATGATTATGGGGGAAGGGAACTCAATGAAGGCCATCTTTGAAAAAAATAGGGACAAATATAAGGGCTCTAATTCAGGGAATACACAGACTACCAAACATTTTGAAAACTACACAAACAAAAGCAGACAAACTAGATGATTGGGACATACAAAAAAATTAAAACTCATGTGCATCAAAAGACTTCCCCAGAAGAGTAAAAAGGGAACCCACAGAATGGGAAAAAATCTTTTGCAATGACCCATGAGACAAAGGACTAATTTCTAAAATATATAGTAAACTACAACATCTCTATAAGAAAATGACAAAAAACACAATTAAAAATTGGGCACAGGACATGGACAGACACTTCACCAAGGAGGAGAAACAGGCAGCCAACAAACATACAAAGAAATATTCACGATCACTAGCCATTGTTATTGTTAAAGTGCCATCAAGTCTGTTCCAACCCATAGCAACCCTATATAGGGTTTCTGAGGAGCTGCTGGTTAGCTTGAACCACCGAACTTGCCGTTCAAATGGCTTTGTAGTCTGGCGCATTAACCCACAGCGCCACACCAAGAGACTAACCTTTAGAGAGATGCAAATCAAAACAACAATGAGATATCATCTCACACCAACAATAACAGCAAAGATCTAAAAAGTAGAGGAGAATAAATGCTGGCGAGGATGTGGAGATACTAGGACGCTCCTGCATTGCTGGTGGGATTGCAAAATGGTCCAACCACTCTGAAAAGCAATATGGCACTTCCTCAGAAGTTTCTAAATAGAAATACTTTATGATCCAGCGATTCCTCTGCTTGGTATTTACCCACAAGAAATATGAGCCATAACACAAGTAGATATATGCACAACAATGTTCATAGCAGCACTATTTTCAATAGCAAAAAGATGGGGAGACAGTATCCTAAGTGCCCATAAATTGAAGAATGGATAAATAAACTATGGTACATATCCACAATGGAATAACAAGGAAGCGGCAAGCCACCGAATAACACGGATGAACCTTGAGGACATTATGCTGAGTGAAATTAGTCAGTAAAAGAGAAATACTGCATAGAACCACCATTGTGAAAAAATTATCATTTTTGACTCTGGATTAGATTTCCATAGGATTTTCAATGTGTCATGTTTCTAAAGTTGTTAACCATGCCTTTTTTTTTTATTCCCTTCTGGGTGGATTCGAACCTCCAAAAAATGAGTTAGCAATGGAATGGCACAATTCCAAACAGAAATAATAAAGACCAAAAAATGAGAAGTTAAAAAAATTTTTTTTAAATAAACTTTTTGACAATCGAAGAAATGGAAAATATTAAATTACAAGTATATATTTTTAATGTTAAATATAACCTTGGTGGTGGTGATGTTGCTGTGTTCTGACTCATAAGTACCCTGCATAGTGTTTAAAAGGCCCTAAGTCTTTACAGGATCAGAAAGCATCATCTTTCTACCATGCCATGGCTGACAGCTTCCAGCTGCTGACTTTGAGGTTAGCAGCCCAATTAGCAACCATTGCACTAACAGAACTCCTTAAATAGAACCTCAGGTCTATATTTTTAATATAACATTAATATTCTATATATTATCTTGAAATAATATTGTTAAATTCCAACTTTTCTTTTTAGAAATACACTTTTTGTAATTTATCATGAAGTCTATCTAATTATTTTAAATTCTTCATCATCTTATTGCCCTGTTTTAGTCTTTTTTCCTGAATCAATCTTGTAGGCTAAACCTATGTTTATCCTTCTTTCCATCAATTATTGCCATTTTCGTCCACAAAGTCCTACACATATCATCCAGAATGTTACTAAGCTACATCCCCTCACTACTGAACTGTGCGGCATAAAAAGGAATAAAACACTGTTCAATATTACTACATGGATGGAACTTGAAAACTATAATCTCTAAACCTTAGAAATTCAAAGTTCTAGGAAGTTTGTCAAGATTTGTGTTTTCCTCTTTATTGAAGATGATTCTTTTGTCACTGAAAACTATGTCTCATACTTTGCTTTTCAGGTAGAATATGAGCACATTGCCCGAGAATGTCGGCTTGGTAGCAAGGAGGGTCGTCCTTTTTCTGGGGTCACTGCTTGTCTGGACTTCTGTGCCCATCCCCACAGAGACATTCATAACATGAATAATGGAAGCACTGTGGTATGTACCTGGTGGGTGGCCTTCCATTCTGAAGGCTCCATCACTTTGCTCTTAGAGACTGTGGCCCTTGAATATGATTGACTATCAGAGTGACAGATCATATTTTATGTGCTATACAGCATAGGATACCTATTGGTTGGTTCTTGTTGTTGTTTTTGGTTCATGAAGACTTTGCAGTCTAGTACATTAACCTACAGCGTCACACCAGGACTCCTACCTATCAGTAGTATTTCGTTCGTTTTTTTTTTAATGTTTTATTGTGAATTATTTGATAGTTTACATGGGAAAACATTAGTTTTACATTCATCCTATCGTATATCATTTCATTGCCATGGTTACAATCCCCTCCAGGCATCATCAACCAACCAAAGGGTATGCACTAGAAGTATTCCCACCCCACTCCACCCCCTGGTCGTCAGCACACAGCCCCTCTCCCTCTCAGTATCTAAAGTCCCCAGCTGCTCCATCTCTCCACGTCATCATCTCTGCCTCCATCTCAGGCATCACTGCTTCTCTGGGAAGGGTCCCACTCTCAGTAGTATTTCTTAATTATAGTGTCCATGTACTCCATAAAGTTACAGAATCTTCATTAAATAAATATTTTGTGGTAAGGCTTAAATGATATATTTAATTGTGGCATGTTTGCCAGAAGATGTGAGTACATAATTATTTAGGACAACAGTTTTTCACTACGAATCTGGTGAAGCATGATGTTTAACAAGTTACGTAAGATTTTTCAGGGGTGGGGGTTTGCTTCAAGTAAAATGGAACACAAGAAAGTGTACTGAACCAATTTGATTGGCTTGCCTAAAAATTTACAACCTTCATTAAGACACAATTCCAAATATAATATAACCAGCTTGATCAAAAGTCAGCCTCCTTCCTTTGTGTGATCAATATAAATATATAAATGATTGATCAAGGAGATAAATATGAACCTTTAACGAGTGGAAAAGACTACACCCCATTAATGCTGATGGCATTCGTTGAGACCACTGTTATTTCACAATGTTGAACTTGAAGACATTTTTCTTGTTACATCCTAGCTAGGAGCTAATTCGTCATAATGACTTGACCAATACATTATTATATGTAAGCATACTGGGGAAAATAATCCAGATGAGGTTTAAAGCAAAACTAACTTAAGTTATGGCTCCTCTTCTCAGCGTTCTTTGGGCATACTGTTTTGGCTACTCAGATAACATGGATCTTACCCTAAAATTTACGATCCCTCCTAATTTTTTCATCCCTGAAATCCTGAATTTTTGACATTATACCACTGACTCTCCTTCCTGTCCATTGGCTTGCCCAGATTTCCTAGTTTTACTCCTCAGTGTCTAGTCTTATTTCCCTTCTCTGTTTCCCTATGAACATAAAGTTGCCATGTGGATAAATAAAATGACTCAAGCAAATTTACTGATTTAAGATTTTTAACAGTCCACACTTTAAAAAAGGTTTATTATTATCAGATTATTCTCCAGAGAGTTCAGTATGTCAGTTCTTCCTGATGAATATAGCTATAGAATATATGAATATGGACAACAACATGAATATGGCAACATTAAGAAAATGTCGTGATTATAAACAACTTTACCAACCTGTATCCTGAAGCTCTTATGAAACTCAAACCTTTTTGAAAATCATATCTGCCCATTTCACTTGTTCACATTCTTATAGCATGTTTGCTGTTATAAAAATTATATATATAATTATATATATATATATATATATATATATGTATATATATATATATAATTAATGAGAAATCAAGGATTCACTGAATATATTTGTATTCAATCTTTTAAAGAAATTATAATAAATATTAGTTTGTAGACTATTAGTATTAGGTATCTAAAGCCAGGTATTTTCAGCATACAGTTATATATTTTCATTACTCTACAATGAATATGGACTCCTGGTGTGTACTGTAGGGTCACCACTGGACTTCAAACCACAAGTTTGGCAGTTCAAACCCACTACCTCCTCCATGGAAACCCTATATAGTGTCGCAGTGAGTTGGCACCAACTCAACTGCCCTTATCAACTACAATAAATATACTTAGCTTTTAAAGTAATGAGAAGGGCTGAAAATAGGTTATCCTATTTCCAGTCCAAAATAAAAGGTGGGAAAACTGTTGATGTGGCTTCTCACTGGATTACAGCAAAAGGGAATGACAAAATTTATCAAAATAAAAAGGTTTATTAAATTTTTTAACTATCCGTATTAGAAAGTCTTGCCAGAACAAGAAATCTCTTTTGTGTCTCTTCCTTTACTACTCATATCTCTTAATTCATTTACTGAAAAAAATGAAAATCACTCAGACAAGGTCAGAAAAACATCTATATCTAAATCCTATTTAAAAGCAGAAATAAAGAAAAACCTACCCCAGCAATGTAGTGTTAGTTAAACAGGATGTGGTGCTGTTACATACCCCAAAATCCTGTCCTCTCAGTGTTGTTAATATTGCCATTGAGTGGTTTCCAACTTAGAGACTAGAACAGCTCCACAGGCCTTTTCTTCACAGTACCAAAGAGTGGGTTCACAGTTTTAACCTTCAGATCAGCAGGCAAATGAAAACCTTTTACCCCACTTAGGTCTCTTATTTTCATGAGAAAACTGTGAACAGTTCAATAGCCATTTCACTTATGCTGTGCAGTAATAATTGGGTGCAATAACAAGTTTCTATATGAAAAAGTACAAATAGAATTATCATATTCTTATAAAAGCAACTCACAATTACACTGCTTTATTTACAAACAACCGGGAAGTTATTAGAATTGTATTAGAGTTAAGTGGCTTGATATAGGGTAAATTTATCTAAAACTCTAATATACTAGCAGTGACCAGTTAAAAATTAAATTGAAATTCAAATCCACAATGTCAACAAGAAGAAGCTAGAAATAACATTTTCCATTTCCTGTTTTCTTCCTATCAGGTTTGTACTTTAACACGAGAAGATAACCGCTCATTGGGTGTTATTCCTCAAGATGAGCAGCTTCATGTGCTACCTCTTTATAAACTTTCAGACATAGATGAGTTTGGCTCAAGGGAAGGACTGGAAGCCAAAATCCAGTCTGGGGCTATCGAGGTCCTCACACCTCGCCGCAAAAAAAGAAAATGTTTTACTCTGCCTGTTCCTCGATCTGGGAAGAAGAGGGCTGCAATGATGACAGAGGTTCTTGCTCATAAGGTAAGAGCCGTGGACAAGAAACTCGCTCCTCGAATCAAGCGGAGAAATAACTCAACAACAAGCAGCAGTAAGACTTCATCACTGCCGCTTTTAGGTAAGACCTTAGGGAACCTCCTGCTAGTTTGCAGTGCAAAATTTTCAGTGGCAGAAGGGTTTCAGCTTTCCTTTACACCTTATTTTTCTTTTCATTATCTTTGCTTCTTATTTTGAGATGATGTGTTATTAAAAAAAAAACATTAATTGGTTAGCCCATTGTTACTGAACCTTTATTATAGCAATTTCTTTAGAGTTAAAACTTATATTCTTACATATGTATCTTAACTACAAGCTAACAATCTAATGACCCATCAGTATTTCTTGATATCTCTTCTATTTATTTCTTTTGAAGAAAATACAATCAAGTAAACATGTTCTTACTGTTTTGTTTTGTTTCACTGTGAATGCCTTGCCTATTTCTATTCTTTAATCACCACCTTAAGGATCAATTTAAGTAGTCTAGTCCACAGAAATTACCAAGCACCACTTTGTGTTGAACAAGTTTAGGTGTTGGAAATGTAGCAGGGAAAAGAAAAGAGGTAGAGTTGTCATATAAGGTCTCATTGGAAATAGCACATATAAGTAAAGTCCTGAAGGAAACTAGAGAATCAAGCATGGAAGTATTTGGAGAAACAACATTCCAATTGGAGGGAATTGCAAATGCAAAGCTCCAGAGGCAGGAGTTCATTTTGAATGTTTGAAGTGAACCAAGATGCCAGTGAGGCTCGAACAGAGATTGAAATGGAGAAAACAATATGAGAAAAGATCTGCGAGATGTCTGAGCAATACAAATAGGACTTTGTAAGTCATGATGAACACTTCTGTTTCTCACTGTGAATCAGGCAAGTTATTGGAGGTCTCAGAATCAGGCAAGTTATTGGAGGCTTGATACTATAGAATAAAGAGCATAGAAAAGCAGGAAGACCATCAAGTCCGTCCATTTTTATCCAAGAGAAAGATGATGGTACTTGGACCAGAGTGGTTAATGAGGGCGAGATAAATGATCTTTGATACATTTTGAAGGTAGAGTCTAGAGGCTTTGTTTAAATATGGCTTGTATGAGAAAATGAAGTGCCTAGGATTATTGGAAGAATATAGCAACTGCACGGCACCACCACCACCAATGTGGTGAAGGTCAAAGACTTGGATTGGAAAGGTACATGAGGGAAGATCAGTGACTAAGTTTTGGATATGTCAAGTTCTGGAGGCCTATTAAATATTCTGGTGGAGATACTAGGTAGGCATTTTACTAAAAGAATTATATTTTAGGAAGAAATCAGGCTGAGGATATAATTTTGGAGATGAACAGCATAAAAACTGTTTAAAGCCATGAAGCTGAAGGAGCTAGAAAATAAATCTAAGAACTGGTTTTGTCAATGACCAATTTGATAGAAGGAGGAACCAAGAAGAAAGATTGAGTACTAATAAGGTAGGCATGGATCTCAGTGAGGAAGGGTTTTGACTATGTCAAGTGAGAGACAAAGACAGAATTTACCATTAGATTTGAAGGTTATATGATTTCCTTTTTTTTTCTCTCCAAATTGTTTTAAAGGTCAGACAGAGCTAATTATATAATAGATACTTTCTCCCTTCATATGCTTATATTTCAGCTCTGAAAAGATATTCTTGTTTTCTCTTACCTTCACCCAGACCCAGAGATTATTTTGAAACTACTTACAGATATAACATTTCAATAAATTTATGAGTATGTGTCATAAGTGCTCTCAAGCCGTTTCCATCTCAAAGAAACCCTGTTGAGGATTTCTGAGAAGCATCTGGTGGGTTTGAACCACCAATCTTGTGGTTAGCAGTCCAGTGCTTATCCTGTAATGCCATATCAGGATTCTGAAATGTCATTTGTTGCTGTTCCAACTTAGAACATCCCAGTATAGGGATTCCAAGGAGTGGCTGGTTGCCTTGAACTGCCAACCTTTCAGTGCTTTTCCTACAATGCCACACCAGGATTCCCTTGAAATGTCAGTGGTGATGGTGTTGTGCCATCGAGTCAAATCTAACTCATGGTAACCAAAGCTGTAAATCTACATCACCAGAAAGCCTCATATTTCTCCCTAGAAGCAACTCTGGTAGATTTTGAATGACTGACTTTGTGGTTAACAGCCCAGCTTGTAATCTGCTATGCTACCAGGGCTCCTTTGAAATGTCATTGTTAGTGTCGAGTCACTTCTAACTCATATTGACCCTGTATTGAGTTTCCAAGGAGTGGGTTTGAACTGCTGATCTTGTGGACCCACAACACCACAAAGTCCCATCTGTTTTGGGTTGTTAGTTGATCGTTTATTTATTTATTTATTTATTTATTTATTGTGTGTGTGTGTGTGTGTGTGTGTGTGTGTGTGTGTGTGTGTATTATTATTGTCATTAAGTGCCATGTGCCAATGAGTCAGTTTTGACTCAAAGTGATCCTGTATCCTACAATGGATGATTGGTGGAGGTTGACATAATCTGGTGGTGTTATTGTTAAGTGTCCTTAGTTTGGTTAAGACTCATAGTGACACTTTGTAGGGTGGGTTTCCAAGAAACTGCTGGTGGGTTTGAACCTCTGACCTTTTAGTCAGCACTCTAGTGCTTATCCTCTAGCACCACATCAGGACTATACATATATAATCCTTATTAGTAACTTGATAATTTTGAAGATTTTTTTTTTTTTTTTAATTTCAAATCATTTTTAACATAGTTTTTATTTCAGTGCATTTTAGGTTTGTATGTATTTTCAAATGCTCAGATTTTCCCAACTTCATACTTGTGAGGAGTGGTTTGCTTTTTTAAGCTATGAGAAATGACAGTTCACTTATTTACATGCTTCAAAATAAGATTCAATAAAGAGAAATATTCAAGACGCCAAGCCTAGAGAATTATCAATCCTTGTTTGCAACTTCATTTTACTGACGTTAAATTTAACTTGTGGCTCATGGATCTTTTTCCTGCAGTTTTGGTGGTGCTGTAGCATAGTCAGTGGAGGGCTAACCACACGGCCAGAGTTTCAAGCCCACTAGCCTGCCCCATGGGAAGAAGATGAGGCATTCTGCTCTCGTGAATAATCTTCACCTTGGAAACCCTATACAGGATCTGAGTCAATGGCACTTCACAAGCACAACAATAACATATCTGTCTCTATAGTGTTTGTAAAGAATAGCATCCTTACATAGAACCATGAAACGTAAACTATTTTCAGATTGCTCCTTTAACTATCACAGCATAAACCATATTAGTATTCATATATACACTATATGGTCCATATCTCCCCTTCTTTTATGATCTTACCCTTAAGAACTTTGTGGTATAACCAACTCAGTAAAATACTCACTACACTTTTAATTCTTCCTCCCCATGGTTTGCAATTTCTTGACATTTGACCGCTATAATCATTGATACAGAACAGATCAGCTTCAGATAAAGTATACTGTCATATTATTATTTAAAAACAAAGGTGTTTTACCATTTCTCTTTCTTGGTACTAAAAGTTGTTATTATTGAACTTGCAAAAAAAATAAACAAAAATTTTTTTAAGAATTTCAAAACAGTAGAAATAGTCTCAAGAAAATGTTGAGAATTTGAGTTTTCTGCAGATTAGTCCACGCACAGTACCCACACCTGCAAGAATGTAATAATGATCTATCTCTCTACATAATGAAAGCAAGCAAACCTTCAAAGGTCACAAAGGGCTTCTTTTCAACTAAAAAGTTTTACGCACTTTCCCTTTAATTAGTAAGTCACTTTGTAAGTTAGGATGCTTTCTTTACCCAGAAACACTTGTAAACGATTGCTTATGTTTACTTCTTCTAAAATTAGATCATGCATTACCTCAAAAATATCTATGTCGCCTGCACAGTATTCCGACCTATCTTTGCCTTACGGTCTTCATAGCCGGTTAGGTTATGTCTAATATTTTTCTATTTTAATCAATAAACAGTGGTCCTGGGTGTACAATTAAGTATACTGGCTACTCATCACAGATCAGTGGTCTGAACACATCAGCAGCTCCACAGGAGAAAAACCTGGCGCTGTGATCTCATAAAGCTTACAGCCCATGGGGTATTTCTTATCTCTTCTATAGGGTTGCTACAAGTTAGAATCAACACAACAGCACACAACAACAGCCAGTGAGAATCCTTTGGGCTAAATCTTTGCACTACATTCATGATTATTTCCCAAGGACAGATAATTGGGAGTTAATAAGAATACCAAACTCACATAAACTATATACTCGTGTCTGTGTGTATTGTGTGTTTGACTTGAAATAAGTCGAACAAAACTGGCCAGTATGACCAACATCAATGTTTTGTAACATTATCCTTTGTACTTCTCCTTAAAAATACGCTTTAAAGACAATTACATGTAGCATTTTGTGTTTATCTTCACCTTTGGTGTCCTTTTCTCTGTTTAGGGTGTAAAACTGAGACCTTGCAACCTGAAATAAAAAGTGAAACTGAAACACATTTTATCTTCAAAGGTTCAGACAACACAAAAACCTACTCACTGATCTCATCCATTTCTCACCCAGTGAAAGAGGCCAACTTACCTCCAGGCTTCTCTTGGTCCCCTAAGAATACTTCAGCCACAACATCATTTAAGAATGACACAGCAGTCTCCTACAGGTTTTCAGAGAGAAGTAGCAATCCCCACTGCACAATGCCTTCTACCAGACTCGGTGGTGCTAATGCAGCTGCTGGGGAAAGCACTGGAATCGTACAGTCTGATGAATCGTCTCCTCTTCCTACCCTGTCGACTCCCATGACAGATTCCCTGGTTTATTCTGAGCCTCCCACTGGTCCAACTGAGCAGCTAACACCTAATCAGTCAAACCAGCAGCCCCCGTCCATCACATCTCCTCATGAACTTGCTCCCTCTGGTGTGGAAGAAGATGAGCAGCATTCGGAAGCAGAAGAGCCTCTGTCTGATGATCCCCTTTCAGATGACCCCCTGTTACATGCTGAGGAGAAATTGCCCCACATCGATGAATATTGGTCAGACAGTGAGCACATCTTCTTGGATGCCAATATTGGTGGGGTGGCTATAGCGCCGGCCCATGGCTCTGTTTTGATTGAGTGTGCCCGGCGAGAGCTTCACGCTACGACTCCTGTTGAGCATCCAAACCGGAATCATCCTACACGTCTCTCCCTTGTCTTCTACCAGCACAAAAACCTGAATAAGCCACAACACGGTTTTGAACTAAACAAGATTAAATTTGAGACTAAAGAGGCTAAAAATAAGAAAATTAAAGCTTCAGAGCAGAAAGATCAGGCAGCTAATGAAGGTCCTGAATTGTCTCCTGAAGTTAATGAATTGAACCAAATTCCTTCTCGTAAAGCATTAACATTAACCCATAATAATGTTGTCACCGTGTCCCCATATGCTCTCACACATGTCGCTGGGCCCTATAACCATTGGGTCTGAAAGCTTTTCTCCCCTTCTTAATGCCTTTGCTAGTGCAGTGTATTTTTTCAAGGTGCTGTTATAAGAAGTCATGTTGTCGTTTACTATATCTTCATCTCACCCATTTGAAGGCTGAGGTTAGAAAAAAATGGGGTGGAGATTTCTTAACTGTGACTATATTTTGACAATTGGTAGAAAATGCACATTTTAAGCAAAAATTAAAGTTTTATAGTTTTAAATACATAAAGAAATGTTTTGGCTAGGTGTTAACCTTGATAGAATCTCTCAGTTTGGTGCTTTAAATTTAGTCTGTTTACTATGAAACAAGAGTCATTTTTAGAGGATTTTAACCGGTTCATGTTCTATGATATAAAATCAAGATACACAGTGTTAACTCTACACAGCTCCTGGTGCTTAACCACATTGACACAGTTAAAAAAATAAGCTGAATTATTATTTCATGGTGCCATTGTTGTGACATCTTCCAATCATTGCTAGAAAATCGGCATATTCCTTTGAAATAAACCAATGAAATTTTTCTCTTAAAATATTTCTCCTGTATAAAATAATTCATTATTGTCAGTAATGGTTGGAGGCTGTTCATAAATTGTAAATATATATTTTAAAAGCACTTTCTATTTTTAAAAGTAACTTGAAATAGTATAGTATAAGAATCCTATTGTTTATTCTTTGTGCATATTTGCATACAAGAGAAATCATTTATTCTTGCTGTGTAGAGTTCCATCTTGTTAACTGCAGTATGTATTATAATCATGTATATGGTTTGTGGGATTTTGTTTTGTTTTGATGTGTCCTTTTTCATTCAAATATTAGCTTATATAAAGTAGATAATGCAAAATTAGTTAATTATTTCTAAAATTAAAATTAGGAAACATTACCAATATTGATTAACATTTTCTCTAGTGCTAATTAAGAGTGGTCTTTCCTTATTTAGTGAGCAACAGTGGCCCCAATTTATCTTCATCCTAACTTTCTCAAAATAATCTCTATGTGGTATTTCCAAAGAGAGATTAGACAGAATAGGATTCTGAAGAGTCAAATGCTTCCAATGTTTCAAGAAGATAAAATATAAATATCAATTCCTTAAGCCCTATCCATCCCAAATTGTCTTATTTGTTCTGAAAGTCAATCTGAAAGTCAAAATAAGAAAAAGGTTCTTGTCAAAATATTTTAAAGATAATTTTATCAGTGCCCAAGTAAACAGCAGGACTGGTAATAGAAGAATGGTTCGGGCTATCAAGAACTAATCCAAAGAAGTTTTTCTTAGCATATTAGTTTTGGAAAATTATATTTTATCTTCTCTGATAATTACCTATATTCTAGGTATAGGAAAATAGGCATTCCATTTATTTTATTCATTCTACTACTTAGTCCCATTCTTCATTGATTCATTTTATAGCAAAACTAAAGAGATAGCCCAAGTAAAATGTTTAGACCAAGAACTTTCCATGAAATACTTGATTCTATTAAAATGCAGAGGTGCTATAATATTAAAGGTGTCAGATTCCTTGGGAGTATAGAAAACCTAATGGTGCTTCTCCCTTGGAAATGCCATAGGAAGCCCACAACCGCTAATACTCAAAATTTTGGTGCAAAAGGAAACAGTTCCAACAAGCTATCTAAAGAAAAACTCATAACTTATATTAAAATAATATATGGTGCAAAGTATACATTTCAAGCTTTTGACTAATCCAAGTAAAGGAATATGAAGGGATTGTAAATAGCAAAATGTCAATTGATAGACCATCATCTTGTACAAGTAGCTTTCTGCTTTTGAATGTGTATATTAGGGTAATACATTGAATTGTTTTAGTATTTTGTGTGCCTTAGATTTCCGTTTTAAAACATGTATATTTTTGTGAGCCTAAGGTTTCTGATACATACAATTATATAAATGATTGTTTATTGCTTCAGCTGCTTCAACAAGATATTTACTAGTAATAGATTACAGATTATCAGGAATAAACCCTTGTGATACTATGTTTTAGATTTTAGGCCTTAGCTCCTAGTAGAAATTATTTTCTCACCAGATTTAATGGATAAAGTTCTGAAGCCCTTTATCCACTCACGTACCCATCCATTCTTCCATTTTACAACCCCCTTATTGAATGCTCTCAAAAATTAAGCATACTTTTTTTTCTCTTTGAATCACCACCCAAGACATCGTAAACTTAAAGAATTAAAATCCTAAGAGATGGCCTTGCAATATTTTTAAATAAAATAGCAAATTTCCTTTACAACAATCTAAAATACGAAAATTAAATAAGATTTATGTGAATATTGGGTATTGTGACTCCCATTATGATTTACCAAAAATAATAACATAAAAATATCTAGCAAGTTTACATGTCACTGTTATATTCTATGAATCATATGTAGTTCCCACTGTAAGAACGACAGATGATTTGTGGTTTGTTGGTTGGACATTTCCCCGTAAGTTTTAGCAGTTCACTGTCCCATTACCAGCCCTGTGATTTTCCTTTTTATTCATATGCACATTCAATGTTCTAAAGCATGGTGATTTTAAGCAAGATGCACTGCTTTTAGAATGTTCTTTCTTTATGAAGCAAGGAAATAAATTTGTTTGAAGTGACATTTTCATTCAGGAAACTGGTTATCTAACATTATTTCTATGCCTTTGTTACAATTTTCAGTAATGGTCCCCTTTTCTTTCTTTTTATTTACAGCACTCAAACTGGTTTTAAATCTTCCTTTGTTCATGGTGTAATCATTGAATTCACTGACACATGACCCCCCGATTCAGTACCCCCCTGTTCATAATGTGTTAGAAATTTGTCAATGATCATGAGAGAATAGCTTCTGCCTATTGGATAATCCTGAGCGCTGGTATGGTGCTATAGGATTAGTACTTGACTGCTAACCTCAAAGTTGACAGTTCAAACCCACCAGCTGCTCTCAGAAACCCTATACATGGTCAATAGATGTCACACAATTGTATAATCCTAGACCTTGCCATACTTCAAAATAGCATCTCTAATACATTTTTTAAATGCCATTGTTGATTTTTTTCTTTTACTTGTATTTGTCAGCCTCACCTACCTACCTCTTGTTTCCACCTCCTCCACAAAGTACCAAATAGACCCCATCATAAACCTAATTAAAATATATTCTTATTACTGTAAAATGCAACATGTTATTAAAATGTTTGCATCTTTAACGACCTTCCAACATCTTTATTAAGCAACCTGCATGTCGATGGAATATTATTAAATATAGAATTTCAAGTAGATGAGATCCATAGCAATTTACTTAAGCCACAGCCCCAGTACATATTTAATTGGAATGCATACCCTTGTGTAAATGGTCTACTGAATTAATTCATACTTTAACCAAAAGGTGGGTGATTTGAACCAATCAGCAGCTCCACTGGAGAAAGAGGTGGCATTCGGCACCCATAAAGATTACAGCTTTGGAAACCCTATGGGGACAGTGCTACTCTGTCCTATAGCATCAACTTGATAGCAAAAGATTGTATGTAATTTCTTCAGTGGTCTCCTACTAATTATCATTTCACAATAGCATGTGTGAAAATAATCCCAAACTATTTACATTTAGTCTTTTAATTTTTATATTTAGACCTTTGAGGGGAACGAAGTTATGACATTATTGCATGACAACTTCCACTGATAGTGGGCACAGCATTTCCTTTGAGTGTGCCAACAATAAGTAGCCGTATGCCACCTTTAGTAATCTACAACCACCTTTATTCACATTTTCTTAATGCATGGAAATCTTTATTATTTGGGGGGGCGGGAGGGGGAGTGAGTCTAGGTTTAATTCAACTGTTATGTTCTGGCAAGTGAATTGTCAAATAAGATCATGGTAGTGTCCTCTGAGCAATGTATATGACATCACCTTCAAAATCGTGGAGTTCAGTCAGTTAGAAAGCAGAAGTTCATTCAGTTGTAATTATGTCTTTAACTGTCAGATGAGGTCACTGGATAGGAGAGTTGTAGAAATCAAAACTGAATATGTTCACCTGGAGGGTATTTTTATCACTGGGAAATAACTTTATTTTGGTAAAAGTCAAAAATAAAATGGCTTGGGATTTATTCTGAGAAGTTCAGAAAAAGAAAGTAAAATTACAGAAAGATTCCCCTGCTTGCAGAGTTTCAGTGACCTTGTCAGAAAGCTAGTCAATTATCTCAGTTTTGAAGCTTACCCTACAAAATATGGCAGTGCTCCTGTTTGCTGTTTCGATGAGTAAGTGCTTATACAGTACAGGCTTTGCTGCTTCTGCAGTTAGGGTTAGGCGTATGTAAGGAATTGTAAAAGATTGGATGGTTAAAATTGGGGAAAGTATATTTCAATTGTATATACTATTTATTCCCATCCTTTTGTATATACATAGTATAGTCCACATCTCTTGCCTATTTGGCCTTGCAATTAAGGCCCAACAATTTAGATGTAGGGCATCCACATGTATGGGAAATTTTTTTTATAGTTTACAGCTCCTAAATTTGCCCATAAGCAGATTTCATTTGTGATTTGTTCAGTGCCCACCCATGGTTGCTGAAAGGAGTCCTGTCAGTGCCCCCCACCCCTCAACCCACCCATGAATACTGAAAGGAATCTTTAGGTTTATCCAAATCAAATTGTGCTGTAGATTGAGCATTCTTCTAAAGGGTTTTATAAATTATACTACCCTTGGTTCTAGAACATAATTCAAATTGTGAGAATCATTGGCATCTTTTGTGCTTCTTATGAATATAGAGTAGAGGTTTTTGAGAAGATGGAAATTTTTTGTCACTACTTTTGCCCATATTGAATTCTATACATGTTAATTCTCAGCTGTCTTTTACCTGGATGACTTGCAGTTTGCTTTTTTTTCCGGGGCACCCAATTGTTTGCTTCAAAAGAGCTGTATTTTATACCATAAGTATATGAAAAAGATCTTGCCTTTGTACGGAACATTTTCATTCTAGGAAAAACAATATTGGAAAGTTTTTTTTTTTCCCCTTCACTTGGTAAGGCTTGAG